AAATTACTATAAAATTTTAGTTTTAGAACTTTATTTTTTATTTTTTAAATTTTAAGAGTATAGCACCTACACTTAGACTTTATTTAATACTTAAATGATTAACATATAATGTGTCTATACATGTACATATTACGTTAAGTACTAAGACTAGGATATCAGATATACAACTATTTATCCACAGCTAAAACCCACCAGTGCTGACTATATTTCTACTACACAGCTGACCTGAATTTGTATATCTCTTCCCAACCACCAATTAGTATTCACATGTCTGTTATATTATTCACATTACCTACTATTTTAACTCCCAAATCGGTATATAGGGGTGAGTTAGTACATAGAAACATACTATATTTTTTCTAAGTAAATTTTTTTGAAACTTTAAACCAGAATAATTTAACAATGACTTAATTAAATTTAATAAAAAATTTTTTAAGCCAATTTAAAAAACCTGTAAAATTTATTTAAAAAAATTTTTACCAAATTTGGTTAAATTTTTGCTAATTTATTTTTGTTTGAAGATTCAAAAAAATTTTATTAAAAAAACATGATGCATTTCTACTAACTCACCCCTATATGTTTCTCCAAGTAGATACTTATTGCTTCCAGTATGGTATGCCTTACAGAGAATTACTCCCTAATCCTTACTTGCGTACTTCAAGAAGTTTATATTTCAAGCCATGTAGCTGCCTCTACCCAATTGGGTAAGTACCTCAAGCCTACATACTGCTATAACTAGTTGGTTTCTTATGACTTTGGGATTTAGGTCTTAACCATTTGTAAAATTTTAAACCTGTAATATTACATAAGATTTACGATTTGTATGTAATATTACAGAAGATTTTAAAAAATTGCAAAACTTTTCAAAAGTTATTAATAAAATGCATAAACTTTTATTAAGTAATATTGTTTAGAATATTATTTTATTAAAATTGGTCTAATATTCGCCAAGTTAGCCTAAGTGTAATATTTATATAATATTTTGAATATTATACAATATTGTGCAATATTGTGTAATATTTCAAATATTGTATTTTAGGCTATCTTGGTAAATATTAGACCAATTTTGATGATTTAACTACTATTATGACCAGAATAACATGCTGAACAACATCACTTAATAAATGTTTGTACTGTTTATTAATAACTTTCAAAGATTTTTGCAATTTTTTAAAATTTTTTATAATATTATGTACTAATCATAAATCTTATATAATGTTACAGGTTTAAAAATTTAATGATAACATATCAAATTTGGTAATTGTGCTAATGACTATACTTCCCAATATAGTGACAAGGTGCTCAGATATATTTTGCAAATGCTTCCAGTAGTCAGTATAGTTGGATAATATCATGAGACTTAGAGGTAACAGATGCATCATTGTTTCTTTTTTCAGTAATTGTCAGCAATTGTAGCTCCTAGTTATCACTATATATAATTATACTAGCTATACCTATATTGGTGTTCCCAAGTTCTCTTAATGCCAAAGGCTTCTATACAGGTATAACAGAGCTCATTAGATCTATTAACACATATATGCCTCCATGCTTCAACTTTTTATTAGCCAGTAAGTTCTATACTGCCAGAGGTATTCAAAATCTAGTAAGGCAATTCTTTATTACAGATCTTTTTGTTTTTACCACATTTCTTACTACTTCCAATTTTGGTTACTACCTAGTCATTCTCCCAAACAAGATTCCCAATACTACCTTAGGAGTTGTTAGTGTTATCTTGCCAATTGCAAATTTGTATGCACAACCTTTGTGTAATAGAATCTCTTATAACAACTACTATTATACATAGTGCCAACTACTCTACAATAAACCTCCTTTCAGAAATTCCTAATCCAAACCTGTATTCACTTGGACTTTTTATAGTAAGTATATTCAAATATTTATAGATAAGCATACCTATTAGGACTTGAACCCAAAACTTGCTTGTGAAGGGTTGGATGTCTAGACTACTAGACCACAAGACCCAACCCTTTTAGTTTTGCCTAATATGATATACATTTTAGTATTAGAATTCTTAGAATTTATATTATAAAAAATTTGTTATATAACTTGTTGTTCTATTACTGCAGGATGTGGTTTATATATGTTGTGCTCAGATGCAAATTGGCCCAGTTGACAATTGGGATGGCCCAGATGGCAATTTAATTTTGGGCTATCAGTTTTGCCCTAGATGCAAATTGTAGATCATACTCTTATTTTTTAAATAAATTAGCCAATTAAAATCATCCAGCATATAATAGAAATTCAAGAAATATCTTAGTACTATTACCTGGGTCAAAGTGACCATCATGTGATTATATGCCCAAGAATTCTCAAAACTTTGAGCAAAAGTATCTTGATAACCAGCAAATCAAATTCGATAAAACTTTTTTTATTTAAATTCTATTGATTCATAGAATTTGAATAAAAAAATTTCCATCAAATTTAGTTAGATAGTTATCAAGATATCTTCGCTCAAAGTTAAAGAAAAATCAAAGCTCCTTAACAAAATAAAAGCTGCACCAAATTTTTTCTCTAATTTTGAATGAAGTTATCTTAACACCCACCAAACCAATTCGATAAAAATTTTTTATACAAACTCTATAAATCTATAAAATTCAAATAAAAAAAGTTTTATTGAATTTAGTTTGAAGGTTGTCAAGTTATCTTCGATCAAAGCTTTTAAAAAGAATTTAGCGCAGCTTCTATTTTGATAAGCGTTTGATTTTTTTCTAAATTTGAATGAAGATATCTTAGCAAACAATTGACTAATTCGATGAAATTTTTTTTTTATTCAAATTATATAAATCCATAGAATTCAAATAAAAAAGTTTTATCAAATATCTTCTATAAAAGTCAAAAAAAATTTTGCAACTTCTATTTTATAGGCGTTTTGACTTTCTTTAACTTTGAGCGAAGATTTCTCGATAATTATCTGACTAAATTTGATGAAAGATTTTTTATTTTGATTCTATAAATCTATAGAATTCAAATAAAAAAATATTTATTGAAATTGGTTTAATGGGTTGTCGAGATATTTTCGCTCAAAGTTTTGAAAATTATTGGGCATATAATCACATTATAGTCACTTTGACCCAGGTCAAAATAGATTGGCCTATTTATAATTACATATATTATTTATTATCGTTATAAAAAACATTTTACTTAATACCACAAAAACATTTTGAATTTTATTGTAATTATTTAGGCAATTATATATTAACTATAACTAATATAAGATATTTTAATTCTAATTATTTTGACAATAAACATTATTTGGATGGCAACAAGTACAAGTTGCACCTGCCTTTTTACATTTGCAATGATTTTTCAAACAATTCCCTTTGCAAAGATATTTCATAGCAATTATAGACCCGGAGCTTTGTTGGATAGCAGCTTCACAGGTACTTACACAAATATCAGGAATAACTGCAAGCTTAGGGTATTCTTTAAAAGTTCCAGTAACAGAAACCAATTCAATGGCTGAATAATATTTATTCAACCTTCCATACTGGCATCCTAAAATGTATGTGTCGTTCTCAGTAATTTCCAACACTTTACAAAGTATGTATCATCAATCAATACCAGAATAATCAACTTCATGAATTCGAATCTGAACCAAATCATTTAGTTCAAATCTATGTGAATGTTTTCTCCCTTTTTCCATTTGCACCCTCATTTTTTTCGTATAAACTTCCAAATGTTTAATAGCTTCAGCTTCAATGACATTTTGAGTCGCATAAAAAGTTGGACATGGACAAGAACTCTGATTCTTAAAAAAAAAAAAAAAAAAAAATTAGTAAATATAGTAGAAAAGCTATGTCTAATCTACACAGTGAACCGAAAAGTAAATCTGAGAATAGCCCTGGCCAATACATTAATTTAATTTTACAATTTAATGTTTACTATTTGCATGGTCATATTATTCAACAGAGACCTTTGGGTAATAAAATAGTAAAAACAAAAATTAATAAAAAAAATCCATCAGGTTTGAGTCATATTACTGATAAATGGATTTCTAATAAAGACAAATTTAGAAATTTGACCCTGTTAGAATTCTTATTTTTGGGATTGATCCAAATCCTCCATATTTATCTTTAATGCTTAAATTATACTCACTATATTTTCTATAGCACTAGATGGTGGCGTCAAAACCTAAAATTTAAATATAAGCGATAAGTTATTATTTTTAAATTAAAGTATTATTATTTATTACAGCTATTTTCATGAATTCTGAAACAACTGAAAAAATTACTAATAACTGAATTGATAAGTTACTGAGTCAGAATCAATAAGTAAACCAAACTCAGAAACTTATTGATTTGGTCATCGGTAATTTTTTCATTTGTTCCAGAATTTATAGAAACAGCTATAAATATTTATCATACTTACTATTGCATTAGGTGGTGGCCGAAATGGTAAAATCTAAAATCTCAAATTATGTTTAGTATGTTTAGTAAATTCTTAAAACAAAGTATGCATTTCTGATTTATCTTTTACCATATTCTTATTAGACGACAGCAACAGCGGAACCTAAAATTTTAAAATAATAATAAGTTGGCATCTCTCAAATTTAGATATTACAGTAATAAATTGATTGATTTTTACCACACTCTCATTAGGTGATGACAGCGGCGAAGTTTAAGTTTCAAAAAAAAAAAAAGTATAAAGGGCTTTCTTGTTTAAATTATTATTTCTTACTAATATTTACTATATTCTGTTAGGTGGCAACAGCAGCAAAATCTGAAAATAAGTATAGTTAATTCCTTTTAAGTTGAATAAATTTATGGTTTTGTATTTACCATATTCTCATTAAATGATAGCGGCAGCGAAACCTAAAATTTCAAGACATATAAGTCATTGTGTTCAGTTAAATGTCGGCTCTTATTCAATACTTCCCATATTCTCCACAACATCATATAGCAACGGCAATGCTAAGACCTAAAAATTCTGAAAAGAAGTGTAATTATCAATTTTCCTATATCATTTTCTAATTCAATATTTACCATATTTTCTTCCACATCAGACAACAATGAATTCTAAAAGTTTAAAGTTTTGTATAAGTAATTTCACATTAATGCTTA